TCTGCCAACTTGTTGAGGGTGCCCTTGATCCCCTCGTCCAGGTCACCAATAAGGATGTTAGACAGAACTTGCCCCTTGAGCTCTGGGGAACACCACTTGTGACCAGCAGCCAACTGGATTTGACCCCATTCACCACTCTCTGGGACTGCCCATTTGGCCAGTTTTTTATGCAGTAAAATGTATTCCCATCCAAGCCATGAGTAGGCAGTTTCTTTGGGAGAATGCTGTGGAAAACAGCATCAAAAGCTTTTACTGAAGTCCAGGTAAACAACATCTACAGCCTCTCCCTCATCCACTAAGCAGGTCACCTTACCATAGAAAGATATCATGTTAGTCAATTGAGACCTGTCCTTCATAAACCCGTGCTGAATGGGCCTGATCACCTGGTTGTCCTGTATGTGCTTTGTGATGGCACTCAAGGCCATCTGCTCCATAACCTTCCCCAGCACCAAGGTCACACTGACTGGCCTATAGTTCCCTGGATGCTCTTTATGGCCCTGCTTGTAGATGAGTGTCACATCTGCTGACCCCCAGTCAACTGGAACCCTTCAGTTAGCCCAGGCTGCTGATAAATGATGGGAAGAAGCTTGGTGAGCACTTCCACCATCTCCCTCAGTATCCTTGGGTGGATCCCATCTGGAACCATAGGCTTGTGCATGTCTAAGTGGTGTAGTAGGTCACTGACCATTTCCTCTTGGACTTTGGGGGTTTCATTCTGCTCCTTGTCCCTGTCATCCAGCTCAGGGGCCGGGGCACTCAGAGGACAACTGATTTTATGGTTAAAGACTGAGGCATAGAATACATTCAGTACCTCAGCCTTCTCCTCAGCTTTGGTCACTATATTCCCCTCACATCCAGTACAGGGTGGAAATTTCCTTTAGTCCCCTTTTTTTATGTATGTATAGAAACATTTTTTGTTGTCTTTATTTGCAGGAGCCAGATTAAGATCTAGTTGGGCTCTGGCCTTTCTAATTTTCTCCCTGCATAGCCTCATGAAATCTCTGTAGTCTTCCTGAGCGACCTGCCCCTTCTTCCATAGGCCATAGACTGTTCTTCCCGAGTTCCAGCCAAAGTTCTCTGTTCAAGCAGTGTGGTCTTCTTCTCTGCTGGCTCATCTTAGGGCACATGAGGACAGCCTACTCCGGTGCCTTAAAGATTTCCCTCTTGAAAAATGCCCAGCATTCCTGGACTCCTTTGCTCTTCAGGACTGCCTCCCAAGGGATTCTATCAACCAGTCTCCTAAGCAGGTCAAAATCTGCCCTCTGGAAGTCCCAGGTGGCAGTTCTACTGACCCTCCTCCTCCTTACTTCCCCAAGAATCAAAAAGCCTGTAATTTCACAACCATTGTAACTTCATGATAACTGTTTCATTAGTGGACAGAAATTAAAATGCTGACATCTGGATGTCAAATTGCAAGAACCTAAACTTTAAAAAGTGCATTGCAATCTCATATTTGCTTGTCCTGGTTTGAGCTAGAACAGAACAAATCCTCTTCAGTGATTTTACTTCCCAGCTCAATCTCTTCTAAGTAACAGTGCTTTCTGAAGTTAATGGTGGATTTTCACAGTGTCAGCTTCTAGCAGTGGTAACGCTCCATGTTTAGAGTTACTAACAAGGACTGGAGTGCAGAAAGGCTCTTGCTTACAGTTGCTGCTCTGGCGACCAAGGTCACTGCTAAATCTTGCGTGGCACGTTGGGGGTGGTGCAGAAAGTAAGAAGCTCCACCTGCAGGGAGAAGCAGACAGGACAGGTGACCCTAAACTGACCAGCGAGGTGTTCCATTCCATACACATCATACTCAGTATAAAGCTGAGGGATCAGGAGGGTCAAGCATCTCTTCTTCAATGGCCGGTGTCTGAGAAGGATTTGGTCTGTTTTGCCTTTGATCCCAATACCTGTGTTCCTGAATCCAGTTCCAGAATTCAGTTCTCATCTGCTGCTGAGATGTACTTGCCTTTGGGAAGGGGAATGGGGTAGTTTCTATATTGGTTTTGTATATATTCTATTTTATTATTATTATTTTAATTAAAACTGTTTTAATTTTCAAATCCATTAGTTTCAATCCCTTATTTCCTTTCTCTTCTCCTCCTTGGGAAGGTGGAGGGGTTATAGAGAGCATCTGTCAGTCACCTAGCGGCTGACCCAGCCCTAACCCTTGACACTGGTATCATTACATACCATATCTATAAAGCCCTACATTCCATCAGGTGAACAAAATACTAATCACAAGCCATGCAAAAATAAGACAACAGAACCCAAAGTGATTTCCAAGACAAAAAGGTTTACTTGTACTAACTCTTCAAACAGGTATACATTCACAATCTTTAAACAATCAGTACATGTCTAGGGCAAGTCGAGTGTGTATCATTAGAAGATAATGCCTTCCTTAGTAATTAATGTCCATAAATCAAGAATTAGCTACAACCTTAAGGCCCCTTATACCAAGGGTTAATGTTTTCAGTAAGACTATCCCAGTACTAGGCAAAACAGAGTGTTGGTAGAACAGGATTCTAATCATTCAGTTCCAGTATCATATTACAGTCTTTAAGAGCAGTAAATATTAGTGGGGGAAAAAATATCTAGTGCCAAACTGAATGTTTTCAAGCACTGAAAAGCAATACAAATGGTGAAGATTCTATAGACATTTAAATCAGTTTAGCTACTGAAAACCTCACTTTTTGTCTAAGAACAACAAGAACATCATTACAGACTGGAGGAAAGAATTCAATAAAAACCTTTTCTCTGGATTTTCCTTAGAATAGGCTTCTGTACAAAACAAAAACAATTAAGATTTGGGTGTTTCAGTGGCAGTAGTAGTATCAGAATAATAACGAAATAATCTTAACATATATATTAATTTACCACATATAGCTTATATAGTCCTTTATGTATCTTACAAAATGCTACTGTTCTACATAACGCATGTAAAAAAAAGGGTGTGTGTATATATATATATATATA